TCTGTGAGATCTCAACAAGTGAACCTTCCTAGGAGTAGCGAGCGGATGATTGTGCTTTTCTACAAAATGCATCACCACCCAAGTTTCATTTTTTTTCCGAACACTCAATCGAGCTGGGCAGTTACAACGAGTCTCTCCACGTTTCCGTTCCTTAGTTCCTGTCACTGCGCCTTGTTTATTTCGGTATGACAAATTTGTCTTCCCTTCTTTAGAGCAAGCAAACATTTTTCCCACAACCGTGCAAGCTTTTGGATCTTTTCGGCTGTTTTTAATTTTAGTGCTAAATCCTGCAACTTTAGCATACTCATTATAGAAACAAAGAGCCTTTTCCGCCGATTGAAATTCCTGTCCTATCGAAGGCTTCACCGACGAATCAACCTGCGGTATGAATGCTTCGTCTTGCTCAATCTCCATCCTACGTAAAACAAATATACTAAATGTCATAAATAATAAAAACAAATCCAAAAATCATGACAAAAATTTGATATTTAATATTTTTCGTTCTAATTTCATTGTAATAATATTTTGTTAATAATTACATGAAGAAAAAAAAAATATAAACTTAGCAAGCTGGACAAACTCATAAACATTGTAAATTCTGGACAAATAATCATTGTATGAAAATTAGTGGATCAAATTTTTGTATGAAAATTAGTGGTTCAAATAATTTGAATACCTGCTTCAGAGATTATGGAGCGTTTTTGGGATAACAGGATGAAGCGATTTTTTTTTTTTTTTTATATGGCTGGCAGAAGAGAAGATGTGGTGAGAAGAAGAAGAAACCTTCTGAATGTGCGTGCGGGTTTGGAATCGCTGTGGATCAAATCTTTTTTTTTTTGCTTGATTTATGTAAAATAATAATAAATGCCACATGTGTTGTATTTTAATGAACAATTTATGCCACATCGGGGCCACATAGGCGGATGGCTCCGTAAGGAAAACAATCCGCATGCTCCATAGAAAAACCGATCCATCTCATGCATTTGAATTTTAAACCTGAATTCATATTTACCGCACCCAAATTAATAACACTGCACCCTAAAAAGACAGTTTTGTCCTTTATTCATATTTAAAAAAAAAAAGAATGTCCCATCTTCTAATCTATTTATCGGCCGAACCGAGCACCGAAAAATTTCGAAAACACCTTCAAATAATATTAGCAAAAAAAATGTTATCCAACAAGACAGGTCATGCAGCGACCGGCCGATCAAACCGGTCGGATTGGAGCGGCCTTTTAATTTATTTTAATTTTTTTTTTTTTAACCGGCCGCAATCAGACTCAGCCAGCCGCACGCGTCTGCAAATAGCAGCCGACCCTTTTTTTTTGAAAAAAAAAAATAAATATTTAAAAAATATATAAGAAACCGATTAATTGTTATTAAGGCAAGTTGCTACAACATATATAACAATTCATTGCCTTACATTGAACTTCCTCATTCAATGTGGGATAATTGCAAATCAAAGTTTTCACTCTCCCAACTTTTTATAGCCACTCTTGGCCTTTATTATTGTGTTTGTAATCGATGTGGGATTGTCCTAAACCTCTAGCCTTTTATAGCTACTTTTTGCATTCTTTTTTGCTTTCAAAATCAATGTGGGACTAAATGATCCATTCTTTAACACACTTTCACTATATATGTCAAGATGAATATCACATTATCATTAATTAAACTTATTATTATCTTAAACTGATAAATGTTTAAATTTAACTAAATGAACATGAAAATTGTAATAAATTCTAATATAAACCATAATAATTTCTAACTTCTAACATAATAGTAATAAATTTTAATTTATAACATAATCAATTCTAATCTATAATACAATAATTTCTAACCTTTAACAAAATAATAATAAATTCTAATTGCATTTCTAACTATTTGTACATATAAATTAATTTGTTTTTTTTTTAAATTTTCGTGGTTTTTAATTTTTGTTAATTAAAAAAAGTTGAAATATAAAAAATATATTTAAATAATTTCATATATATTATTATATATTTTATAATAAATGAAAAATAATAATTAAGTTTGATTAATAATTAAAATATATTAATAATTTAAATTAATATATATTAAATTATATATATTAATAAATTTCATATATATTATTATATTTAAATATATATATTAATATATATTTTATATTAATATATAATAATAAAGTTAATATATTATATAATATATATTGTATTAGTATGATTATTATAAATTATGATAGTATAAAATATAATTAATTATAATAAAAAAAGTATATTAGTATAAATTATTATGTATAGATTAGAATTGAGTATCTTATAAAATAAAATTTATTGATATTGTGTTAGAAGTTAGAAATTATTGTGTTATAGATCATAATTAATTATCTTATGAAATAGAATGTATTGATAATGTGTTAGAAATTATTGTGTTATAGAGTAGTACTGATTATCTTATGAAGTATAACTTACTGATATTACGTTTGAAGTTGAAAATTATTTTGTTATAGATTAGATTATCTTATGAAGTAGAATTATCGATATTATGTTAGAAGTTACAATCGATTATATATAAAATTATAAATTATTATTATTATTATTATTATTATTATTATTATTATTATTATTATTATTATTATTATTATTATTATTATGTTAAATATTATAACTGATTATTTTGTAAAATTATTAACATACATCGTAATATATTGCAGGTGCTACTCGAAGATGACCTTTTAATAGTTGTGAAGAGCTGTTAAATGGAAAAAAGATTGCAATTATATGAGACGAGAGTGCTTGTAACAAGGAACACTAGATGGAAGTTATAACTGACCTCTTTCCTATTGGTACATATAAGATTTTCATAGGTCATCTGGTTCTTACAAACACTTCATACGTCTTAATATAATATATATTATATTAATATAATTATTATAAATTATGATAGTATAAAATATAACTAATTATAATGAAAAAAAAGTATATTAGTATAAATTATATTAGTATATAAAAATTATATTATTAATTAGTTTAATTATTATAAATTTTAATAGTATAAGATATAATTAATTATAATAGAAAAATATAAACTAACAACAAATACAATTAAAAATTGATATTAGTATAATTACTTTATTAGTATAATTACTTAATTAGTATAAATTATATTATTATAAATTAGAAATGATACTAGTTTGAAAAAATTATATTACTTCAAATTATTATGTTATATAATGGAATTGATTATCTTATAAATTAGAATTTATTATTATTATGTTAGAAGTTATAAATTATTGTATTATATATTAGAATTGATTGTCTTATTAATTAGAATTTATTACTATTTTGTTAGTGGGTAGAAATTATTGTATTATAGATTAGAATTGATTATGTTATAAATTAGATGGGCAAAAGATAAGAATTATATTGGGCTCGAATTGGTCATCTCGAAACACGAAAAAGAAGAAAAACATAAGGTGATGAGGTGTCATCGAGGGGAACGTTACAGATGCACTGTTGTAGGAAATTTAGTTAATGTAATTAGAAATTATTATATTATAGATTAGAATTGATTATCTTATAAGTTAGGATTTATTACTATTATGTTAGAAGTTAAGAATTATTATGGTATAGAATTATAATTGATGGTTTCGGATTGATCATCTCGAAACACACACAC